AATTAAAGAAGAGGTAAATAGGCTTAGTAAATAGAAAGCTAAGAAGTTTAAGGGAACAAAACATATAAGTGGTTTCCCAATTACCCTAACTTTGAGGCATCATATGATATTTGCCATTACAGAAGCCTTATCCAGCTACAAAGCCATAAGCATTTGAAAGGATTGTTTTATCGTTACAAAAAACCACAATCCTTGCTTGTCATTTATAATTGTTGAGTAAAGCCAAAAAACCTTTATTCATCCTTTGTATCAGCTATAACAAAACCATAAAATAAACCCCCTTCAAAGCTTGAATCCTAATGCCAAGATAAGATAGAAATAGTTAGTTGACATATGGTACACTAAAAGCTAGCCGACCAAGATTATTATTAAAGAATAAAGGGTCAGGATCTTGCAAAGGGATCAAGTTTCAGTTCCTTTATTATGGCTTATAAAATAGAGGTTTGATCGAGAGATAACAAACACTGAAATAAAAGATAAACACCAACATAGGCTTGACTTAGTTGATGCAGAGATTAGGTTTCGCCTAAAGAGCAAATCTTAATCATTTTAGTCTTGTTAAATCATAATACTTTTTGTTTTTTGGGCTTTTATTAGCGCTAAATACCCCACTTTTAGGTGTTTTTTGGGTTACAAGAAAGGTAGAAATAAGCCTAAAACTTTTATAAAGAGTCTAAAATTCATTTCTGTTGAAGTTCAAAACATAGCATAAATAGGGAAGTTCCAATTTATCCAGAAGTTCATTACAATATAAAGCCAAATTTGACTTTTAATCTGTATCTAAAGTTATAGATGTCAAAATAAAGCATGCTTATGCGAGTAGAAAAGATGATAACGAGGTCTGAAACATATGTTAATGGCCCAACTCCAAACTGTGTCATTTTGATGCTCTAAATGTAGATGGAATCCGATTAGCCAAGCTACGAGGAGGAAGAAACATAAAAAGATAAAGGGAAAAAAATGACCAAAAAGAAGAGAATACGTTGTGGTATCATCACCAAGGTCTCGATTAACAGACCTTTATTCTCGCAGCAGTAGCAAAAACATCAAATTCAATCCATTTGTTTTAGGGAAAAGGACTTATGAGGTATAGACCTACATTCTCAAGGCAGAAACATCCTTTTTTGCAACAGCAACAGTTTTATCAAGTATAAACTTATGTCATCTTTAGAATAAATATATTTATTCATGTATACTCTTGCTTTTCAGAATATGTCTACATAATTGCATGTTTCATTTTTTTTTCTTGATTTCTTTCCTCTTGAAAACTTGAATGGTAGAGAGTTTAGTTAAGTGTTTATATGATGGATTTGTTTTCTTTTGGTTGAACCA